TCTTGCTCTGTTGCCCAGGCTGGAGTGCAGTGGCGTGATCTCGGCTCACCACAACCTCCGCCTCCTGGGCTCAAGTGAGTCTCCTGCCTCAGCCTCCTGAGTAGCTGGGATTACAGGTGCGCAACACCATACCCAGCTAATTTTTCTATTTTTAGTAGAGATGGAGTTTCACCATGTTGGTCAGGCTGGTCTCGAACTCCTGACCTCGTGATCTGCCTGCCCAAAGTGCTGGAATTACAGGTATGAGCCACTGCACCCAGCCCACATTTCTATTTTCTTTACAACATTTTTCATGGACTAAAACTAGGTTTTCTGCTTATTTGCTCATTGTTTGCTTGTCTCTTCCACTAGAATGCATGAGAGCAGAAAATTTCTCTCTCTTTTCAGTGCTATATATACAGGGCCTCGAACAAAGCCTGGCACACAGTGGTTTCTCAGTAGTCTGCTACACTGAATTTTCTCACTTTGGAAGCCTGCCCTAGGTTAGGCCTCTAAGACACACAGCTCATGACCACAGGATACAGAAGCCCTCACAGAGTTTTATGCCCCAGCGTGCCTGTTCTATCAGGCTCCTGTCAGTGACCAGCTCTGCACGGTCTTCACTTTGAAGGCTTGGAGGTATCTGGCTGGTCGAGACTGGGGGCCTTGCCTGAGCAAATCTCAGAGTTCTGTGGTGTAGCCCCCTTTTTGCCAGAAGAGGGCTTTTTGGTCACTGGTCCAGCTTCATCCTTGACCTTCTTGAGCCGAGTCTTGTTCTTTGGTGGAGTGGAGAAGGTGAGGGAGCTCTTGTTGAACTCAAGTGGGAAGACACCTACATCTCCATCAAAGCGGTTCTTGGACACCTGCAGATACCGTTTCCCTGGCCCCGTGACCAGCTTCCTGTCCTGCAGGATCAGAACGTTGTCTGCTTCCTGGCTTGCCTGGGGAACAGGAGACAGAGAGAGGAAAGCGGGAGTAAGAAGACATGAGCAAAGCAGAAAGGCAGGCTGACAGGGCGGGGAGGAGTGATAAGAAACGGGAAGAGGGAAAAGTACTTTCCCTCATCACAAAGCTCTTTGAACTACTGACCACGATACTGGGGCCAATAAAATCTTTCAGTTCCCTGACAAGCTTGCTGCTCACACACTGCCCATGCTGGTCCCTCTCCTTCTCCACAGTGGGCCACCCCAGTCAACCTCAGCTTCTTCTCATTTAGGTCTCAGTCTAAATGTCACATCTCAGGAAGGAGACCATTCTTTTTTTTTTTTTTTTAAGACACGGTTTCGCTCTGCTGCCCAGGCTGGAGTGGAGTGCAGTGGCGTGAGCACAGCTCACTGTAGCCTCAACCTCCCAGGCTTAAGCAGTCCTCCCACCTCAGCCTCCTGAGTAGGTGGGACTATAGGTGCATGCTACCATGCCCAGCTAATTTTCAAAAGTTTTTGTAGAGACGAGGTCTCACTGCTTTGCCCAGGTTGGTCTCAAACTCCTGGGCCCCAGCAATCCTCCTGCTTCGGCCTCCTAGAGTGTTGGGATTACAGGCGTGAGCCACAGTACCCTGCCATTTCCCCTCTTCTGCATTACTTTTTCCCAGCTCCATGTTTGCTACATCATGGCACATGATTTGTGCTCCTTGCCCTGAATTCCCTGTGTCCAGCCCAGGCCTGGTATGTAACAGGCATTCAGCGTATCACTATAAGCTCCAGGACTGTGCTGGGCCTCAAGGCCAGAAGGCCCTCCCATTTACCTGATTGTCTAATACCCATTGTCTACCAAACCTCAACCCAACCTTTGTTGTCACCTCCTCTGGGAAGTTTCCCAGATGTTCCAGGCTGACTCAGACATCTTTTCTCTTTGCTCTCCAAATACTTGTGCTGCCCTGTCATAGCTCTTATCACACTGAGTTGCAATCTCTGTCTTACTGTTTCCCACATGAGAGGATGTGAGCTTTTGGAGGGCAAGGAGAGCAAAGAACCCACTACTATCAGCCTTTGTATTCCCAGCACACACATTCCTCATGTCATGACCCCAGAGGCATTGTCTCCTGCCAGCTCCAGATGGACAGTCAGGATGATTAAGGCTGAAGGAGGGCTGTCCCTGGTCCCACATGCCCATTCGACTTTCTAAAGCTTGAGCTCCTCTAGGGGCCACTCACTTTGGCTGAGCCAAAAATGGATGCTGTCTGCAGTTCCTTGTCATCATCCTCTTTCCGGGGGTGAATGACCAGCGTCACATGGCAGTTATTGTCTGTCGCAAACTTCCGAAAGACCCCAACAATGTAGTCTTGAGCTGCAATCCTGCCCCCATCCCAGCAACACAAAGAGCTTATTAGACAGCGAAGGGCAAGAACGTACCCAGACTCTCGATCCATTCACATCTCCCCACAAACTACCACGACCCACTCTACCTCCCTCTACCTAAGGACTCACTCAGATCCCTGTCCATACATCCTGCTGCCACACCCCACACCTCCATATGATGCACATGGGGGTGGTACGTGCCTGCACACATTTCAGAAAATAAGAGAGCACACCGTGTGTGCCTAGAGGCCAGCTGCCTGAGAAGGGTGTGTTGTATGTCCAAGTAGGCTCAAGTTAGACAAGAGAGGATGTCACCTGTCTGTGGACAGCTGCTCGTGACCCATCATGAACTGCAGGTTGTCGATGACCACATGACAAATGTCGTAGACGTAGACTGCATGTTGCATTGTATCTACTACAGTCCTGAGAAGAGGAGAGGCAAGAGTTTGACAAGTTGTCTCTAGACCACCCCAAGCAGAAGAACGGGCATCCTGAAAACTCTCCTGGCTGCCTCTTCTGCCCTTCTATTATGATGATTTGAGATTGGGTCTTGCTCTGTAGCCCAGGCTGGAGTGCAGTGATGCAATCACGGCTCACTGCAGCCCCAACCTTCTGGGCTCAAGCAGTCCTCCTACTTCAGCCTCCTGAGTAGCTGGGACTACAAGTGTGTGCCACCACCATGCCCAGCCTAATTTAAAAAAAAATTTTTATGGGGGGGGGTGGGTCTCCCTATATTGCCCAGGTTGGTCTCAAATTCCTGGGCTCAAGTGATCCTCCCACCTCAGCCTCCCAAAGTGCTGGGATTACAGGCATGAGCCACTGTGCCCAACCCTGCCCTGTCATTCTTTGAAAAACTACAAAGCTAAGGAGCTGAAGGAATTCCTGCTGGAGCTGGAAAGGCAACCACAGGTTCCTGAGTGCTGGAATCTGTCTGGGAAAGCGAGGTGCCTGAAACCTGGGAGCCTCACCTGATGCCCTGCTGCCCATGGAAGGTCATGAAATAGAGGGGCAGGTCCTCAAAGCGGTTGGCCCAGTGATCATATTTGTCCAGTTCATCTTCCAGCCGCCTCTCTGCAAACTGTGTCAGCATGACCCGGGCTAGTCTCACATTGCTGATCTCGAAGCTACCCCACAGAGTGTTCACCCCCTGGGAACACAAATCCAGGGCATACTCACTGATGAATGTTGTCTTTCCACTGCCTGTTGGCCCTGCAGCGGGTGGAACAAGCCTGGGTGAGGAGGAAGTCCTACCCTTGATACCAAAATATAGGTCAGGGCTTTAACACCGGAGGGAAGCGGCAAACTTCCTGTTCAACACTGTCAGTGGCCCAAACCCACATGCTTTTGTCTCCTGATCCTCTGCCCCTTTACCCTAAGTAGTGATTTCTCAAAGGGTTACCTGTGAAGACCGTCAGTTCGCCCTTTCGATGTCCCTTCAAGATACGATTGAGGTCTGGGAAGCGGCTCCAACGGAGGCCAGCTGCTTGCTCCACATTTGATAGTTCTCCTAGCACCTCCTCCCGAAGCTGCCGGAAAGACACAATAGACTTGTGCCAGGCAGGCAGGGCAGTGCGAATAATACGAGAAAGATTTAAGCCTCTGTTCAGGGCCTCCAGGGGATGAGGCTGCTGATCTCCCGGCCGCACCAAGGAGCATCGTTTGGGGTTCAGTTTTCGCGCAAACAACTTGGCCGCTTCCCAGGACCGAAGGTCATCCCCTAACCAGAATACAATCCGCCGGAACTGTTCCAGGTAAGGGAGTAAGGCAGGGGGCAAGCAGCTTGTTCCTTGGGGTAGAGTAAGGGTAGGCAGCCCCGTGGACTGGCTCAAGGCCAGGCTGTCAAGCTCGCGACTCGTCAGAACCACCTCAGTATCTCGACGACTAATCAGTGGTAATCCAAACAGATTGTGGTAGGCACTCGGTTGGGGAATGGTGGTTTCCTCGTAGCTCACTCCATCCCCCCGGCATTTAGCCTCTAGTAGCTTCAGGCCTCGTAATCCTGAGCCCCCAGGGGAGAACCAAGGGAAGACAAGACTGCGAGCAGGTCGCAGATATCGCACACTGAAACGCTTGAGTGTGTCATCTGTAATCTTGGTAAGGCCAAACATTGTATTAGCCAGCTGAACCTCCTCCGGATCAGGCAGCTCCTGGAGAGGTACTGCTCGGTTCCAGATCCTCCAGACCTCCTCACTGTCCTCAACTTCTGGAGCCTTACTAAGCAGAAGACCCTCACTGGCTCCATCCCCTTCCCCCTCCACGCTAGCCTGAAAGTCTTCCCAGCTCCCCTCTGCTAGGCTGGTCATGCAGAGAAAGCAGCCTGTGGTCTTGTCAATGTAGAGGCTGAAAGAAGAGGTCGCAGCAGTCTGGTCTTTGAGCTGCGAAGACTCTACAAAGGGGCTCGGTGTCCGCAGGCAACTGTGGCCATCCTGGAAGGGGATCCCATGCTCCCGCAAATACTGGCGGATTTTGGTTGCAGTTACAGGCAACACTGGTATCTCCAAGTCTGGGAGAGCCTCCTTCCTGTACCGTCTTCGAGGAGGCCCTGGGGCCAAACCTCGGGGCAGGCCCCTCCGACCCATCCACTCCCCACGCTGGGGTAGCAAGATACGGAGGGGGTTCCCACCTCGGAGGGGGTTCCCACCTCGGAAGAGGACCCACATTCCTAGCCAAATGTGGGAATTCACTACTTGAAATGCCTTAGGTGCCTGGTTAGCGTGCCTTCAATAGACCAGACTCTAGGTATACCCCACGCAGCACTGTGCGGAGCTCACTCTAGGTGGCTTCTTTCTCTCCATGAATGTCTCCTCTTCAGACCCTCTACGTTGCTACTTCACACATATGCCCAGCTACATGACCCTTTCACGTCCATGTCCTTCTACAATGGCTCCCTCACCTCTATGGTCCGTTACTGTTTCTCTCCACCCCCTCAGCTCTCTGACCCTCTATACAGCTCCTCACTGATACGCTTTCTCTGCATCATCTCCTTACCTCTACTGCCCCTCCACAGCATCTCCTGGTCGTCCTCACCCCTACAGCCATCGGCATCCTTTTTGCAGTCCCTCTGCCCTAGGCCCGGACTAGAGACCCTCTTTCTCTGCTCCTTCCCCTCACTGGGACCTCAACGCTGCGAGAGCCAATTCCCGAGCCCAAAGGAATACCCGTCTCTATCGTTCCCCGTGTCTTCACTCTGCCCTACTACTCTGAGCTCCCCCGCGCCGTCCCCTGGCCCCGGGTGACCACTCTCGTCTCTTCCACTTCGCCGGCAACGTGAGTCTCCCGCACACGCTACTCGCCTTGACCTCGGAAGCAAAACTCCGTGAGTTGTCGTCCCGGAACCGGAAGTCTCGAGGTTTAGTCCCGCCCTCTCTCCAAGCCGCTAGGGCTCCGCTGCCTCTTAGTAGCAGCTATGACTGCGCGCGGGACTCCGAGTCGCTTCTTGGCCAGCGTTCTCCACAACGGATTGGGTCGCTACGTGCAGCAGCTGCAGCGTCTGAGCTTCAGCGTCAGCCGCGACGGCCCCTCGTCTCGCGGCGCCAGGTGAGCCAAGGGAAGTACGCGGGCGCGGGCGGGGGTGGGGATGGGGGTGGCGACGACTCCCGGGTAGGTCGACCCGGGTTAGGAGTCTTACTGCTCACTCTCCCGGGCCCCTTAGGGAGTTCGTGGAACGGGAGGTGATCGACTTCGCCCGACGGAACCCAGGGGTAGTAATATATGTGAACTCGCGTCCGTGCTGCGTGCCCAGAGTAGTGGCCGAATACCGTGAGTGGGGTCGGGCTCAAGCTGGAGGGCGGGATCCGGGGCTCGGCCCGCTAGCTTCCCTCTCGCCTGGCCGCACCGGCCAGCTTCCGCTCACGCACCCACTTTCACCTCTCTTCTGCCAGTTAACGGGGCTGTGCGCGAGGAGAGCATCCACTGCAAGTCGGTCGAAGAGATCTCGACGCTGGTGCAGAAGCTGGCCAACCAGTCGGGCTTGGATGTGATCCGCATCCGCAAGCCCTTCCACACCGACAACCCTAGCATCCAGGGCCAGTGGCACCCCTTCACCAACAAATCGACTACGTTCCACGGGCTACGCCCCCGAGAGGTCCAGGATCCGGCCTCAGCTCAGCTGCAAGCACAGTGAAGAGGTCCCACCAACTCCAACCCCAGGCTTTGGACTGGTTCTCCAGTAGAGGTGGTTCTTCCTCTTTGGGAGTCCAAGCCCAGGTAGACAAATGGAACCCGTCAATGGGGAAGCTGACACAGGTTCTCCTTGGGATAAAGAAGAGCTGCCTATTTCCAGTGCCTGCTTCTGGGGGCAGTGACCTTTGTGAACCCTTAATTTTTATCCAAGTGGCATCCCTAAAACCTGAGATGAGGGACTTCAAGGGTTTTCCAGGGCCCTTGATTTTGAAGTCCAAATTGATAATAATGATCTCAGAACACAATGAGAGGTCTCAAGGCTGGCTTCTGAAGAATCCGATATCTTGTTGGTACAACAACTGAGCTATAGAGAGCTCTTCTCTGCTCTGATGGGCTAGGCACTTCCTATCTGTGTGAATGTTTGTTTAAGGATTTATAAAACCGAGATTAATAAACTTACCCAAGGTCATTTCAGGTCTTACTTCAAAATGTGTGCATATGTTAAGCCCTGGCCCCAAATTTTATTGTTTAAAAATAGATGCAGAACATGTAACAACTCTCAGGGTGGTTAGTATCAAAGGCCACGTGGTTAATAAAGGCCTGACCCCTGAATGGGAGAAGGGAGTGATTCTCAGCCCAAGCCCTGGGTAACAAGCTTTCTCTGGTCTTAGCTATACATCTCCTTCCCTTTTTTTTGTGCAGAAATAAAATCTATGTCCCTTGAGCCAGCTGGTGGGGGGTACTGAGAACCATGGGGAAGGGCAGGAAGGCTGACTAATGAGTATTTTCTAGGCTTAGTTTTTTGTTGTTGTTGTTGTTGTTTTTAAAGAGGGGGATGGTGGGGAAATGAGAGGAAATAAAAATCTAGAAACCCTTGTAAGAATTCTTGAACTGTTTTTCTTGCCATGCCCTAACACCATGATTAATGAATAGTGTGAACCTTAATAAAAGGGCCTGTGTGCCTGCCAGGGAGTCAAGATGGAAGCTGAATATCCCAATTTCCTCTGCAAATAGTTGTACTGGGGAGCAGGGCCAACCCTGGAGACAGACATCACTTCAGCACCTTCTGTATAGGCTTGAGCCTGTCCCCTGGTGATCAGGGGTGGGCCTATCTAGATGAAGCAGACTACTCATAGCTGTGGGGAAAGAGGGTGTTTATTAACCAACAGCAGGGGGAGGAGCTGAGCCCAGGCTCCCCACTCTGTCACATGCCTGTTCCACCCACCTGGTGGTAAGTAGGGGCATTCCTAAAGAAATGTAGCCATTCTCACAATAAATACATTCATTGTGGGGTGGAGGTGGGAGAGGCTGGGTGAAGGGCAGTAAAAACCCGTGGGATTCCACGTTCTCAGCTACAAAAATAACAGTCATCCTCACCCGAGGGGGATGGGGGAGCTCAGTCAGGATTGATTGTCCCAGATGGGCCTAGAGACTTCAGAGGCCCTTGGACCCTGAAAGTGCCCCGGTGAGGTAGGACAGGGGTAGGAGCTAAGCATCCAAACTCCCAGCCTCTGCCCTTTGCATAGTTCCAAGAACGGGCTTCATGTGCCAGTTGAGACATCAGATTTGTCCTCCCTTTCCCTGCTGTAGTCTAGGGGAAGCAAAAGCGTGATTTCCCCCAAAAGAGAGGCTGGCTCATTGAGTGCAGTGTTGGTCATCCATCCTAGGGAAGGGCCTGTGAGGACAGCCAAACGGGAGGGGGATCTCCCTCTGAAATGTCCATGGGCCAAATCCAACAGACACAGGTCTGAGGCAGCAAGGGGAGGCTCAGAAGGTATATGTGAGTGGAAATGTAAGCACATGTGTGATACAGGTGTGTGTTAAACCACATGTGCAAGGGGATGGGGCATGCCTGGGGCTCTGTCTCCTAACTCTTGAGAATGACCAAGGAGAATGGGGAGGCTGATTCACAAGGACTGCACAGGAAGGGAGAGGAGGGGAGTGATGCAGTCTTACCTCCCTAGGCTGGCCCGTTCCCAAGCTCTTGCCAAAGAGGTCACCACATGGAGCTGGGGCTGGGGAAGAGGACCAGATAGGATGTGGCAATTGGGAGGGTACCCCAAGTCCAGAAGCAGGGATGAAACAAGAATGCACCAGGAGAAGGTGAGGGTGGGGGCACTGCAGCCCAGCCGATAAACATTCTTCCACGTGTGCCTGTGAATGTACGCAGGGCTTAGGTGGCTGGCAGAGGTCTTGTCTGGTTTCAGGACCATCCAGCACACAGGGCCATGCAGAGGGTGGTGACATTGAGGCCATATGGACCTGCAGAGCCCTGCTTGGGAGAAAGAGAAAGGGTTTGGGCAGATGAATGGAATAGGAGGATGTAGTCCTCTCCTCTAAGTGTTTAGGTTAAGGGGCTAGGAACTGGCTCTGGGTCTGCAGGGCACCTGGTCCTGAGGGAGCACCTACCTCTGAGGAGCACCGATGGGCCTGGGCTGCTCACATGTGGGTCTGTGGAAACTGAGGAGGGGGCTTTGGCTGGGCCTGACTGGCCAGCCCTACAGGGACATCAAAAAGTTGGGAGGAGGGCATGGAGTTGGGGGAATGAAGCTCTGGTGGCTGTGTTAGGGAGGCAGTGGCCCAGCCTGGGACAGGCAGGCTGGCTTGGAAGAGCATTTGTTCTGGAGGCTGGGCTCAGACAGAGCTCTCATCTAGCTGCTCTACGAGCTGCGTGTGCTTCCTTTTCTCCAGGATGCGACTGAGTTCCTCGGCGAAGGAGCAGGGCCCTGCTGGTACTCCATTGTTGCTCTGCCTCAGGAGCACGTAGCTATTGCCATTCATCCTTCGCAGCCGGCTGGGCAGTGCCACCAGGCCATTGGTCAGCTCAGCCGGTGGCGGTGGGGGCGGTGGGGGTGGTGGGGCTGGGGCTCCCTCTCCAGGGATGATCTGAAGACAGCTGCCTTCCAGGCCCTCAGCCCCCTCCTCCTCATCACCCTCATCTTCCTCTCCAGGACACTGGCCTGAGACTGTCTGAAGCTGCACGGCAGATCCTCCTGCCCGGCTGGCCCGACCCAGCGAGTATTTCCGTCGGCGCCCTCGTCTGCCTTCCCGCAGACAGGCCACATAGAGGAGGGAGGAGGCCAGGATGAGGCAGAGGCCACCAAGTGCAGCAATGGCGAGCACATAGAGCAGTCTCACATCAGGTGCCAGCTGTGCCCCAGCTGTGGCAGGGGCTTGCGGAGCTGGGGCAGGAGTGGCCGGCCGGACAGCGAGGCTATAGGAGGCCAGCAGGGTGCGGAGGCCATTTTCTTCAGCATAGCAGCCATAGTTGCCACTGTGCTCGGGCTGTGCATCTGTCACCAGCAGCCCATCCACGCCCACACGGTAGCCACCCTGCCCATCGCTCAGGCCCATGCTCCCATTGAACAGCCACAAGGCCCGGGCCAGGTTGGATGGCTGGTCACAGGGCAGGAGGACATCATCACCCCGGAGCACAGAGCGGGTCTTCAGTGGTGGTGGCGGCCCTGTGGGGGATGGGGGAGAGGTCAGTACCGGCTCAGCCCAGGAAGGGATTGGAGATGGCAACCCAGGCTGTGTGTGCACTGCCAAGTCCCTGGCACCAAGCACAGAACCCAGAATCACAGTGACAGCTGACCAAGCCTCTGTGCTCATGCTTTCACATAAGGTTCACGCTGGCCCTTCCCAGGAAGCAGGCAGTGCCTTGGGCCCTTTTCCATGCTCTCTCCATGCTCTCATCCTCTCCTGTGGTTTCAGTTTCTGCCATCTGCCAGTAACTCCTAATCTCTACCTCAGACTTCTCTCGTGAATGCCAGACTTGGATATCTACCATGTGCTGGGCATCTCCACATGAGGTCTCTTGGGCATCCGAAAGTCCAAAGCTTTTCTCCCAAACTACACCGGGTCCTTTCCTTGAGTTGCTACCACTATGAATGGCACCACCAGCCACACACCGTTGCTTAAGTCAAAAACTCCTGGGAGTCTCCCTTCTCTTTCTTCTTCACATTTTTTTTTCCTCTTTTTTTTGAGATGGACTCTCATTCTGTTGCCCAGGCTGGAGTGCAGTGACATGATCTTGGCTCACTACAACCTCCGCCTGCCCGGTCCAAGTAATTTTCCTGCCTCAGCCTCCTGAGTAGCTGGGATTACAGGCATGTGCCACCATGCCCGGCTAGTTTTTGTATTTTTAGTAGAAACGGGGTTTCACCATGTGGGTCAGGCTCGTCTCGAACTCCTGACCTCAAGCGATCCACCCACCTCAGCCTCCCAAAGTGCTGGGATTATACGCGTGAGCCACTGTGCCCAGCCCTTCTTCACTTTTGTATCTAACTCTCACTATGATTCTGTTCCCGACATCTATCTTAGACCTGTTGATTTCTCTCCTTCCATGACAGCTAGCCCATTCTGGTTCCATGTAATTCATTCTCCATGTGAGGTATTTTATTTATTTATTTGAGATGGAGTCTCACCCTGTTGCCCAGGATGGAGTGCAGTGGTACAATCTCGGCTCGCTGCAACCTCCGCCTCCTGGGTTCAAGCGATGCTCCTTCCTCAGCCTCCCGAGTAGCTGGGACTACAGGTGTGTGTTACCATGCCCGGCTAATTTTTGTCTTTTTGTAGAGACAGGATTTCACCATGTTGGCCAGGCTGGTCTTGAACTCCTGACCTTGTGATCCACCCACCTCGGCCTCCCAAAGTGCCAGGATTACAGGCATGAGCCACCAGCGCCTGGCCTGAGAGGTATTTTAAAAACACAAATCTGATCTTGCCACTCTCCAGCCCAGAACTCTTCAGAGGTTTCCTATTGCTTTTTGAATAAAGACCAAAATCTTCAACATGGTCTCTGCCCGCTTGTCCAGCCTATTCTGCCATTCAAACATACCAGGCTCCCTCTGCCTGCTGTTCCCTCTGCTTGCATGTTACCCCATTATCCCCTGTCCTCTGCTTACCTGACTAACTTGTGGGAGATAGCATAGTATAGTGACCAGAAAGCAGCACAAAGTCAAGTCAGACTGCTTGGGGTCAGGTTTGAATTCCTTTTTTTTTTTTTTTTTTTTCTGATGAGGTCTTACTCTGTCACCCAGGCTGGTGTGCGATGTGCGATTTCAGCTCACTGCAACCTCCACCTCCCAGGCTCAAGCGATCCTCCCACCTTAGCTTTTCAAGTAGCTGGGACCACAGACATGTGCCACCACACCTAGCTAGTTTTTGTACTTTTGATAGAGATGGGGTTTTGCCATGTTGCCCAGGCTGGTCTCCAATTCCTGGGCTCAAGCAATCTGCCTACCTCGGTCTCCCAAAGTGCTAGGATTACAGGTGTGAGCCGCTGTACCTGGCCAGGTTTGAATTCTGGCCCAGTTTCTTAACAGCTGAATAAGTCTGAGCAATTTACCTACACTCCCTGGGCCTGAGGGAGGTCCCTCATGGGGATAATAATAATGGCACCTTTCTCATAAGAATGCTGTGAGAATAAATGACATCATGCATAGAAGTATTTAGATCAGTGCCTGGCACAC